GACAGAAACGGAAAGTTTGGAAGGTCTAAAAGCATGAAGAACAACTGCGAATACTACAGACAGTGAAGGGGGGTGGTGGGCAATGGGGAGGCCAAAAAGAGGAAACCAAGGTGGGTGGGAGGAGAAAAGCCAGACATTGAATGAACACGAAAATGAAAGATTATTTGCTGATGATAATGTGTTGAATACTATTTTTGACTGGACTAATATACCATGTACTCATGGTGGGAAAATTCATTTTGTATTTATTTAATTCATTTTAAAACCTACTAAATGGGACCAGCAGTTGACATAACGGTTATGTCGCTGGACTCCCATGTATTTGACTGTAGTTCATGTCCCAGACCCAGTGGCTTAAACTCATGCCAGGCGTGTGTGCATGTGTGCCCAAGATCCTGAGAGGAGAATGAAGGAGAAGGGATTGCGGAGTGGCCATCCCCCCTGGGGGCTGATTTCTCGCTTTCTGTTTTTCTCTGTCTGTCTGGCAAGTGCACATGCCCTATGGCAGAAACCTCTCCAAAAAAAAAAAAAGAAAAGAAAAAAAACTCTACTAAGTATACTCTTAAATGGTCAGAAAATCTTTATGCATCATAATGAATTCAAAATCCAAACACTGTGGTTTAAAATTTTCTTCATGCCCACTAAAGGTGAGCAAAACTTCCCATGAGTTTCAAGGCCGTGCTTTAGGGAAGACCATGAAATCAAAGGCGGAATTCTAAGAGGTTTACATTGCTCTTTTCCAAAGCTCAAATCCCAACCCGCAAGTGCATGGCATTATAAATGTCCGATAAAGTCTGTAAAGTGTGGCATCCCCTAGGATACATAATGGAATTCTTAATGCTGTCAGGACAAGGGGCCATTTTTCCTTTACACACATCCGGCAGCCATACAAAGCCCTGAGCGAGCTGCGTTGAGTGCACCAGCTGCTGTCAGTCAATATTCTGACCATTAACAGTCATTTAAGCTTTTAGTCCCATTTAAATGAATATCGCTATGGCTTATATTTTAAACCCGTTATGGATTCTAATCCTTCAATTTTGAAATGATAAGAGGTACAGAATGTCACAAGAGACAGCCATTACTGTTCCTCGTTAAGCCAAAAATATTGGTATAATACTGCCACTGAACTATTGTGATAATACTGCGTCCTATGGCTATTCATAACAAGGGAAAAACAATTTTTCATATAATGAATTCTTTGTATTTAGGCTACTCGGTCTCCAATCAACACAGAGTCAAGCCGCACACCACAGTGATTTTTTCTCGGCCTCTACAACCCTTCATGTGATACTTTAACAACTTGGAAATGATTCCTAGCAACAACTATGACAGAGCAGCTAAACATCCTGCTTGATCATTTTTTCCCTTATTTTACACTCATGTTCATTTTCTCAGCCCCTGATTTCTAGAATTTTTAAGCTGATTCCTAGTTATACTGAGAAAATCTATCAACAGCTATTGAGTCTTTCCAAGGACTTCTTACACATATCAACTGAATACCAGATGGCAGAATGGGCCGAGGATTACAGGATATTTGGTGCTTAAGAGAAATATTTGTAGTTCTTGGTATAGAGGAAATTGACACACTATAGAAATAGTCAGTGGGAGCCAGAGCAGTACTCAGTGCAGTAGGGGAATTGGTAGGCAAACTCATTGCTAAGCATTTGGTGCAAGACCGGTAAATTAGGAGACCTCTCATTACAAGTGTATGTAACTGAAGGACGGAGATGACCGAGTGACAGTCTACTCTCACACGTTTAGCTCCTATTAAAAATAAAATGTTTCAGAAATTTAAGTTTTAAACAGTTTTATTTATTTTCTTCCCCCTTGGTTATCACTGCGCCTATAGCAGAACTGCAACAAAACCATGGATTTCACCTTCTGAGGAGGAAAAGGATTTGCATAGTTTTATCCTGAAATTTCACTCTTTGGATCGCCTAATGAAGAAAACCTGACTAATCCCGAAAGTGGACAGAGTATGAGGATGCATCTGGATCTCACAGACACATCCTCTTTCCAGGAAGATCGCTGAAAGAATTTATTTCATGTTAAATATGTCAGCATTTCTGAGTAAAGAGATGAAGACTGAATCCCAGCTCCACAGTAACGTACGTGAGCTTCCCCTCTCTAGGTCTCAATTTCTTTGTCTGCAAAATGAAGATGCTGAACTGATGATCTCTAAATCTCCTTCCCAGTGTAGGAATTCCAGATTCATTTATAGAGGCTAGAAAGTGAATTTGGAATTAATGTCACTATCTTATTAACGTTCTTATTCTTCTCTTGTAGTTTCGGACTGTTTTACTACATCACTGACAGAAAGTCCCCAGTAAACATTTCAGATATAGCGTTTAGGTCATTCTGCAAGAAGAAATATGAGAAGTCACTAATGCCATCCATATGGACTATTTTCAGATAACATCAGTGAAAGCTCTTTCAAGATGCACATGAACCTTATTAAGACAGGGATGAGTAAAAGCACATGGATGCTGCCTGAGTGGCTCTTACGTTTGGGGAAGTCACTTCGCTTTTCTGGGATTCGGTTTCTTCCTCTGTAAAAACGAAGGCGCTAGAGATGATAACCTCTAAAATCCCCTTAAATTCCAGTCGTTATGATTTTATGCCAACAAAAACTTAAACACTAAACACAAGCATTGTCATTGTTTTCTATAGTTCAAGATAACTTAAGGGTACTCAAAATTCTACTAATGAAATAGTTCTACATATACACACATAATCATGTCCTTTATAGTTTTTACAGCCTTTTTACATTGCACTGGCTCGGAACTTGCTTTCAATAATTTTTTGCATAGAAACACATGAAAGGACAAAAATTAGACAGTCCTATTTAATTTCACTCAGAAATACTAAGCCTAAGTACTGCCTTAAGAACAACAACTAAAATACTACTTTTACATAAAATAGTGGATAATGCACTGAGAGTTTATGATTTCAACAATTTAAAATATTTCATGGACTTGGACATTAAATATTGAGGGTTTCAAGTTTGAAAGAAAAGGTTCCTTTATAAATACAAAGTATGTATGAATCGTGATAGATCGTCAAAACGTAATCAATATTTTTATCAAACAATTGATAAATCATAAATGGCCATTGATAACTAAGTACAGTCAAAACCAGAATGTCAGATGAGGTGTGTGTGGAGGAGTGGGGCCTAACGAAGGACATTTGGAGAAGGGATACGGAGGTTGAGCATTGATGGGGTGGGGAAGTGTGGTGTTATCGGTTGAAGATATTTTGACCAACGGGACTGGGGAGAAATGTTCACATATTGAAATGCTCACATTGTAAGCTAACAATGTGATTGAATGTATATACAAAAATAAATAAATTTATTTAAAAAAAAGTAACTAAAAGAAAAAAATCAGTGATATGAAGAAATCTTTCCCTCTATCAATGGTGGTTCATCTTTTAAGTCTCTGTGGCTTTGCTTAAGCATATATTCCCTTTACCATGATGACAAGAACTACATTGTATCTGGTTTCTCAAATTAGATCCATTATCACTGTTGATTGTTAGTCAAGAGAAAGATCCCGGTCCATGGATGATGGAGGTGGGCAAAACAGTGAAGCCTAGAGCTTGGTATCTGACAACATCACTTCCTTTCTGTTTGGCAATTTTTTTCCACCTGACTCTGATTTTTTTCCCCCTTCAAATGAGTTTATTGTGTATTTTAAGGTCCTCAAGACAAAGAAATGTAATTCTGTGCTCTGGATGTATTAGTACATCAGCCTCCAAAAAAGAAACTTCTGTATATTTCATAGCTGTACAGCTCTGGTATCTCAGTGGGATCCAGTTAGTGCCTAGAATTTCTTATGGTCTCAAATCACGACCACACATTATAAATATCAGGACATGACATAGCACACAAACGTGTGTTTATCTTGTTCTCCAAAGATCATGTATGTAAAAGGGTTTCAGGACCTCCAAAACTGAGGGGATTTCAAATATAAAATTATATTCTTTACTATGAAGTATTGCATGGCTATGCCTGTTTCCATTGTGTTCAAAATTTCTATCCATGACAGGCCAAGACAAGAGTGCTGAGGCAAACTAGCTTCATCAATTACATCACTTTAAAAACTACTGGTGTCTTACATTTTACTTTAGAGGGTGAGAGTACAGACTAGAAAATCTCTGTCACACTTTATTAAACTTTTTGAAAGGGATGACAGGGTAAATTGCACAGAAAGAGTAATAACTTTGGTAGTTTAAAATGTTAAATGTACATTTTTCCACATCTGGACCTCCTTTCCCCTCAAAAAAATATATTTTATAGATATATATACATATTATATCTATATTTTATATAGATATATATGCACATGTATATATATGGCAAATAATACTAATAATGATAATAACAAATTTGAACATCTAAAATTGGGGTTAGAAAATAAAAAGTACTTCATAAAGAAACTTGCTTATAACTCTTTTTATTATAAGAAAATAAAAGCCTGTTTTGATCATCATAAGGGATTTGAATACAACTATTCACGTAAGAGAGATGGGTCCATTTCTGCAAGTTCTCTTCTTGAAATGAGTTGATGTAAGAGGATTTACTCCGTACATTTTTAGGTGATGTTATTTCTAGAACTTTATCATGCTCCTCAGCGCCGTTGTGAAAGAAGGCTGCTCTGTGGGACTGCAGAGCCATCACTTCCCAACATCGTTACAAAAACAAACAGCTCCAGCTTGCCCAGTTTAACTCCCCCCAGGACAATGGACCCACATCTGTCAACAGACTTGCATTATGTCCTGCGTGAGAACATGACTGTGCCATTTGCTCTTGTGACAAGGCAAATTTCCACAGCTCCTCTGGAAAGAGATTAGCATTCTTGACGCTGCAGTACCTTTCATCAAGCTAATGACATTTCAATCAGCATATTTTCTCCAGTTTCGGTACTTGGCCATCTGAGCACAAGTCTCTAATTACGCCCAAGCAACAAGTTTCACATCAATCCCACAATCTATGCACTCACCATATACCATCGCTCCTCCAGTTTCATGTAAGAAGCGGAATCGATGATTTTTAAATAACCAGATTGTCAAAATGGTAAGGATGAGCAAAAAATTAAAGACAAGCAGCTCGACTGCTCCCTGATGTTGAAACTGATACTCATCCTTCTCTGACATAAACCTTTGCTGTCTCTCCATTCTCCAGTCTTCCTGGGATTCCTCCGATAAAAACCTAGATAAGGGCTATGTTAGCAAGGTTTGCCTAGGACAGTCTGGCTGTCTGAGAATTTCAGAATAAACACTGCCAGTTAGTCGCTACTTCATAAGCATTCTGCCCTGGCTTAGTATTCAGATGGCTTCTAGTTACAACTTCCTGTTTCTCTCTTAAAGCAGCCCTGTCTCTTTTCAAACTCCTGTGTGCTTTCCTCATTGACTCTGACTTCTACTGCCTTTAAATCATTCATTGCATGAAAATATCTTTCATATTGGACAAATCTGCAAGCAGGGACTCTGATACCATGAGTGAGGGTGTTACTGTTTCCAGCAAGTCTTCTTAAATTTCGTAACTGGTGAATTGCAGATTAATAACAAAAAAGATCACCTTTTACCAGCAACATTTTTCTAACTTCAAAAAGCTGGTTCCTGGGACCAGCAGTTAGCGTAATGGCTATGTCGCTGACTCCCATGTAGTCGACCACGGTTCGCGTCCTGGACCCGGTGACTTATGGCTTAAAACTCACGCCGGGCGCATATGCGTGTGCGCCCAAGATCCCGAGAGGAGAATGGAGGAGAAGGGATTGTGGCGTGGCCATCCCCCCTGAGGGGTGATTTCTCGCTTTCTGTCTCTCTGTCTCTTTCTGTCTGTCTGGTGAGCACACGAGCCCTATAGCAAAAACCTCTCAAAAA